CCCCAAAACCCCAAAACCCCAAAACCCCAAAACCCCACTAAATATGCAAAAATTGAATGGTATAAAACCAGGAATATAAAAAGAACCTTGGTACTTCGTTGGTTAAGGTTTACCTGAATAATAAATGAGCACAGAATAGTATAAAGGAAGTTTGGACTTGCATGACTCAATTAAAAAATAGCGTCTGAAATCTCTTCATCGACTCAAGTAAGCTATAGTAAAACACAATGGGAAGTATTAATTTGTAAAGATTAAACGATATCTATAATTTAAAAGATATGGAGCCTTCTGAAGTTAACCTGAACCAGGATTTAGGAGTTACTGTTAAAGAAGTAAAGGAAAGGCAAGAGCTGATTGGAAGATTTTGAAGCTTGTGACAATACCCTAATATTTAGTACAAGGATAACAATCCTTACCAGCTAAATAAAGAACCACAAACCATTCTTTTCTTAAAAATCGCCAGTTGGTGATCTTGTTTTATAAAAACTTTTGCTTCCCATAAATTACTCAATTTCTAACTTATAGGAATCTACTAACGCCCCAAATTTGTCTTATTGATAAAAAAAGCTTCTAACACTACTAAACTACACTTATATTGACTACGCAAACGTGCCATCAGACTCTTTAACCCCCATAAAATCCACCCAAAAGCCATCAAACCCTCATTCCCCTATCTTCCACACCCCTTCAGATCCAATTCACACCTGCCCCAATCCAAACCTATCCTCAACCACACCACCTCAATGTTCTACATCATTACTACAAATCCTCTCAATTTGTCCTCTATTGACCTAAAGCTTTACTTCCAAAGTAAAGAAGAGAGACATTGCTTAGTAGTAGGCCACACAAGGAAGATACTTGGGTTTAAGTTCAGAGTTCCTTTAGTGAGTTGTATTTGAGTGGCGAGTGAACAGAATGCTAGGATTTTGAAGAATTCGGAGATTTTGTTAGATACTTGCTAAAGGAATATTGCGGAATATTCACAATCTGAAAGTGAGGAGGTTGAGGATGATATCAATAGCAAGGGATTATTGTTGCCTGTTGCAAATAGAACCATGGGGCAATTCTTAGTTGGAAACTTACTTCAAATTAATGAACTATTTAAAGCTACACCAAGGAACAAAACGCTGAGCTTGAGCTTGAGCTTCAGAAGTCTGATTCAAATAGACACAGATCTGAAAATAAAATTTCAGGTCTACTCTAGAATACTCTTGAAGCAGATTCCTCATGTCACACTTAACTTATGCTTCGAAGGATTTTTCTTCACGAATAAATACTTAATGAAAGTAATAATGCAGAGCAAAAAATGCAAGAAATTACTGTTCAAGAGATGTAACTTCGCAGTGTATGGGTTTTAAGTTTACCTCAGACTTTAAGTCTGAAGTTGACAATATCAAGTTTGAAGATATAAACTCAAATTTGAGCAAACCATCATATGAAATGTCCAAGATGGCCAGAAATATTCTTCAGGAAATTTGAAAGACTTCACTTAAAGATACAGTGAAAAATATTTTCTTTAGCTGCAGAATCCCATTTGATAAATCTATATTAATGAAAGAAATTGATGTCGGTCAAAGAGAAATAAATCTTTATCCTGTATTCATTCCATTCTGCTTGGAATGTACTCTGTAATGATGCACTTGACAACAGTTTTTAGGGGAGGATTTGTCATAAACTTTTCATGAGCTAAAAATTTGGATACCTAAATAACTTGTTTTCATTAGAAAAACCATTAAAATTTTTCTCATTACTCCTAAATTTTAATTTTGTAATCCTCACAAGATATCATTTTAACTCTATTTGTTGTTAATTAATCGGGGTTTTGGGGTTTTGGGGTTTTGGGGGATCG